TATATATATATATATATATATATATATATATACACACACACACACACACACACACACACACACTATATTGAGAATTGTAAGTAGTAAATCTATAAAGACTTTAAATGAGTACAAAAAGGTCACGTGGTCAGTCAAATTGACCGAGCCCGTATTGAGAGAGTTAACTAAAAATTTTGAATATATGGAGTCAGAATGTTGGGAGTTTCAAGTGCAAAGGGAATTTTAATTTAACATTAAAAATACTTTTCTTCATCTGAAAACTATCGTATTTCATTTGTATCATCACAAAAACCTAACAAATACCAAACATTTTTTTACAAAGACTTTATATTTTATCAGTTATTTTCTCTAATAGTATACTTGATTCTGATAAATCAAAGTAAAATGTAACAAAATAAAATCAGTAATACTGTTCTATCCATTTTAGTACTGACCACAAAATTCCAAAGTACTTCTCCAGAGTTTCTACTTCTAGCCTTTTCACATTTATTTCCTATATTTATTTTACTGTTAGTGACTGAAGTAGAAACCTGCTGAACAAAAGGCAATGAATCACCACTCCTGCCATTTACTGTTTATGCGACACCATAATATGACACTGCCAATAGCAATAAAAAATGCTTCCCACAGAGTTTATTATAATCCTGGTTCTGAGAACAGGTGGTAGAGGATTTATCAGCTTGATTACAGTACAGTGGTTGCAATGAGAATTGTCTAAAGTAATAAAAGTGTGAGGAAATGTTTATGGCTCTGTAAAATGTTTCAAGGGTATCCAATAAACTTGGTAGGTATTTGGATGTTTGCTTATGAGTATGTATATTAGTATTTACTCATAAATGCTTTATCTTTAGTAATTGTTCTTAAAATATAGAACAATAATTAAAAAATACATAGAATAATAACGATATAATGATTTGTAGTACTTGCAATGTTATGAAATTGGTTTGTACTCCTGCGTCTTATTTGCCAAGCTTTTACGTAAGCTTTGTTCATTATCTCAACTGCAGGGGGAATACATATTAATTTTTGTAGATTTCGAAGTTGCATTTTAGAAAATCAAAGAAAAGTATCAAATTACAGAACTAATACACATAAATCACTGTAATTTATCTGGCTTTCTAACTAAGCTAGATGTGGGTTAAAAAAAAATCTCATTTCTGTTCAGATCAACGACTTGGTAAACACACTTCAACATTTCCAGTGAAACTTTGGCTTTATAAATGACTGTTAGGTTTCAAAAGAATGGAGCAGTGGGAGGGGCTACTCTGGTAGTTTTGCTATTTATATATATATACATATATTAGTATCTCAGCAAATCAAAAAGGTGAAAGATTCTTACTTTATATTCTAGCTTGTCAATGTTTGAAATTTGAGATTCTAATTTGTAAACCACTATAGACATTGTATGGTAATCATAATAAAATAAACTGAGCAATAAGACAAGACGTGACAACACAAAAAAAGGATATTTAGCTTTTTTTGTTTAATATTTTCTTTCAAGTTAAGAAATTCAAGCATACATAATACTAAAATTGTTTAACTCTCTCCAAACCGGCTCAGTCAATTTGACCAACCATGTGACTTCTATGTACTCATTCAAAGTCTTTATAGATTTGATACTATTAATTTTTAATACAGTGTGTTAGGAACATGCAGCTCACAATACGCTACTCCACAAGCTACTCCAAACTGCTCACCAATGCATTGTGAAATATTTTTATTATGTTATCATTATTGTTTATTTTACCTAATCTAATCTTAACTAACCTAAAGAGATCTGTACTTTTACATTTTAGTTATTTTTATAATAATAAATAAAGAATAAACATGAAAAAGAAGAAATAAAGTACTTACCCATTTCTTCTTCTTTCTTTTATTTTTTTTAATACTAATGGTAATAATGCACTAAATAATTTTTATTTAAGTAAATAATGCACCAAAGAACATAGACTAATAACCTACAAAAAGCAGACAATTTCCTCTAACTATTACAATATTTCTGGTTTTCTAACTATGTGAAAAGAGCCATTACAAATTTATCCAAGCTAGCCGATGTGATTCCCGTGGGAACCAAAGATATATTACATACAAAATTGATGATTATCTGTTCAGAACACAATGTAATATAATAAGTCATTTGAAAGATGAAAACCTTGAATTTCTATCTGTTATAGGTAATATATAATTAAACATAAGAGAGAACTATTAACAAATCCTGAAAGAGAGGGTGTGGCAGGAAGGGTCTGATTTTATATTTGATAGCTCTGTAACCAAAGGCTATAAAAATTATGGTTTGTCTGTGCAATGACAATATACATTTAATTTCATAGTTACTGGAGAGGTGGTGGACAAAATAGAGAAGAGAAGATACCTAGAGAAAGTGTGTCACACAAGGGGAAATTTGTTTTTTAAATATTGCCTTATAGAATTAAGAACTTAAAATTTATATAATATTAAAATATGAATTATGAACTAAGATTTTACGCTATACTAATTGGTATAACAAATAGATAGTTTAATAAAATTTTGAATGTAAGACACTGAAACCTTGTGTCATGCACAGTAAAGTATATCCGTGATGATAGAGTTAACTAAATTTTGGAAATAACTCTCTAAGATATTGTAGCATGCACTTTTTGACCTATCCGTAGTGAGAGGGTTAACCAGCATTTGATACTCCGTTGCTATGGTACCATCAAGCTGTGATTTATGTGCCAAATGTATTTCAAAATGTTCCATGATTCCTAAAATATCAATAGTATTTACTGTTTGCTTTTCCAATAATTTTGTTGTTTGACTAGTCAGGTTAAGCTCTACATAGTTAAACAATGCTCATACATGAATATTTGCTCTGTTTTGCACAATAAGTCTCTGTACCACTTAATCCTAGTTATAGAGTCATCCCTACATTTACAGGGAAATTATACTAATTCACAGATATTTATGATATTTTACAAACTGTGGTTAAACATATTTATCATAGACTGTAATGCTGCATAGTGATTCAGAAAATGTCTGTTGTTAAACATTACAGAATCAAATTTATCTTGCATTATGATACCACACTTAGACATTAGGTCTGTACCAATATTCTTATGAACCAGCATGAAACTGTTACACAACTTACCTAATTACAGCATTAAATACAGCAGTAGTATTATTGAAATTTCTGAGTCTTTAACAAATGTTCTATAATTAAAATGTAATTGACATATATTGATTTTTGTGAAAATAAGTAACAGTACTTAATAAATCATACATACTTCACTGTAAAAATTTTACTTGAAAGATTAAAATTTGTTTATTCATTACTGAGATAAAGATTTCTGTATTTACTTTAATTTTTTTCTATCTCTTTTTTCAGTTTGTCTAATTATCTATTTTGATGCTTCAGTAAGTTCAGTCAATAAGGTTAAATACCCCAGCAAATTTGTGTTATACCTTAAAAATGTAGCTATCGGTACAATTTCGAATTGATTCTCTAAAGTACTGTTTTTTGTTATGAAGGAAAAACCTAAACTACTACCTGAGATTTGTATGTATATTTTATTTCCTTACCCATGTTATACACCTACACAAATTTACTGAATACAGCATTGTAAGAGACAAATATTATTGCAACAACAATGTGAAAGTATTTCTGAGACTGCTTTGAACACTTATTCAGTATGTTATTGAAATTTTTCAATTCTGGATTTTCTAACTGTCTGGTTAAAGATTTAAATTATTTTTCAGAATAAAGATACAAATCTAAAGTAAAAAGTTGCTCTAGCATTGTATATGTGTTTAAAACCATTAAATCATACAGTAGTTTAAATACTTCGAGTTTTTGTTTCATACAGAATTAGAGATACCAAAATGCTATTGAGCCCTGTCATACATGTACTAGTAACTGTTCATTTAGAAGTAGAGGACCCAGAGTTTGTGACCAAAATTCACTGATTAAGGTTTGAGGGTTAATTTTGGATGTATTGTCGATGCTAAACAAAATAAGCATGAGTAACCCTCGTGAAAATGTGAAATCCAAGTTGGCCACCACAAAGACCTATTTTGGCATATCTCCACTCCTATATATGCTACAGAGGCATTTTGGTGTCTAAATGTAGGTTTTTAAGGTCAGCAAATTCAATTCCAACACTAGATAAGTGCTATTTTTAACAGAAACTAGGATAGACCAATAACATCCAAAATGGCTTCCATGAAAATTGAAATAACCTTATAGTACCTTTATTCACAATTGATGTGTGTTATATGCATTTAAGCAATACTTTTAGTTTTAAAAGAAGATTTATTGCATTCAAACAACAGAGTGATGAAATGTTTTTATCAGGATAACTTATGTGTTATCAAGAAGGGACTGGTAGTGAACACTGCAACCATACTAATCTTCCTCATCATCAAAGTCATTATATTCAAACTTCACAGGGCCAACAGTAACTACTTCTTGGATATGCAAGGCTTGGAAGTTACTTGGAAGGGCTGGTTGTAAGTACCTTAAAGCTATGCAAGGATTTTCAATGATCCACCTATGGTTCAAAGGAGATGGAGGAGATCTGGTTTTATGAAAGTTAAAAAGTATGTATGTCTGGTAGTTTACTCCTCACTTTGAGATCATGTGACTGTCTGGTGGAAGTCTGAGTGTGAATTTTCTTTTAATTTGCTTCCATTTCTTTGCTCGTGTGTCACCAAGAATCATACTATTCTTGTCATTATAAATGAAGCATAATATCATATACATGGCCACATCATCAAGAACCTGTTGTGTACCTGGAATGTTTGTCCCAACTTGTCTTCATATACATGGCCACATCATCAAGAACCTGTTGTGTACCTGGAATGTTTGTCCCAACTTGTCTTCATATACATGGCCACATCATCAAGAACCTGTTGTGTACCTGGAATGTTTGTCCCAACTTGTCTTCATATACATGGCCACATCATCAAGAACCTGTTGTGTACCTGGAATGTTTGTCCCAACTTGTCTTCATATACATGGCCACATCATCAAGAACCTGTTGTGTACCTGGAATGTTTGCCCCAACTTGTCTGAGGAAAGTTCGTGCTTCAGCTGAGGTAGATGCTCTCATGAAAACTGTCTTCTTTCCATGCCCAAGTAAGGCAGTTGTTGTTTCTGATCCACTATGAATATGAAGTAGAATTACGATATCTGCTACTTCCTTGGAATATAAAGCTTTGCAATCTATGAAGCTTTTCTTGTATTTAATTGCAAGAATTCCCTGAGTCCTGTGGGCAACATATGCTGCCAAAACAACAACATCAGGGTCTACTGCATCTATGATGACAGGTATTTGTATACCAGCTTTACACATCTGTGAATAGATGAAAAACACAGATGCATCTGCTTCCATGTGTTCACATTCATACTCAACAATTGTGGTATTTGATGACAGGTTCCAACAGTGAAGACCAAAAGAGCAGATGACTCCAATGTTCAGATACTGCATACATAACATGATGAATTAATTTCTGAGGAACAGTTGAAGATGTTGCTTGTTTACAGTGCTGCGAAATAGATCTTAAAAAGCACTGGGTGAAGGAAATTTATCTGAAGCTCTGATGAATACTTTGGGGAGCCTTCAGCGAATCCTGAACTGCTTCTTCGTAGATGGTGCTCACTATCTTTGGTTGTGAATGAAAAATCATACCAGTCATTCATAAGCACAATTCAAATTGCAGTTTAAATAATTGTCCATTCTCTGAGTTTGTGGTCATCCTTCATCTTGATCTGAAATAAACACAAAACCTGGTCCACCAGTGAGTCATGTCATACAATTGGAAATATGTTCAGTCTTCACTCTGACAATATATGGAATATTACTCACACTGATGGTACTACACCACCTATCATGTGCTTCAATATTTAATGCATCAATTCCACTATGTATTCTAACAAATAGTTGTTTTTAATCATGAAATATTTCAATCAGGATACGTCATCTTCACCATAAAAATAATCTTAACTGAATACAGCATGCTCCACGAGATTATTTAACCCTATGGTCTCCGTAAATGCTCTCAGAGAGAAGGTAACACTGCTCTTGCCATATTTTGTTACAAAAATAAAACTAAACAATGAAACTGTTTAAAATTTGACAAGAATGTTCCTAAAAGTATGTAGTTTCAGAAAAATAAAATATATAATTTTGATTTTTTCTACCACTTATAATAACAAATTTGTTATTTAATGTAGTTATTTGATAGTTCACCTGCAAGGTGATACTATTTTTTTCTTACAGTTTTCACATTTAATTTGTGTAATCTCTAGAACCTCTTAAGTGAATATCAAAAGTTTTTTTAAGGTAAATGTTTATATTTTATTTTCTCTACTACATCACTAACTCTATTATCATCAACATACAGTACAATGAAATGTTTAAACTTATCAAATGGAGATATGTACATACCTTTCAACTCTTCACATAGAAATTCACTAGAATAGTCTTCTTTCTGTCATATGCATAATTTCACATCTGAATCTTTTCACTTAGTCGATTTTTAATTTTCCTTTCAAATTTTTCGTTATTTACTGTTTATGAGCAACCAAGATTTTGACTTTGCAAGCGGGTGTGACTTATCTTAAACTAAGGAAATATTTACAATCGTTTTCTGGGGGGAGAAACTCTTGAAATGTCTCAGACAGCAATATAATAGATGTGTATGGTCAACTTTGACTGTCTGATATAACAGTTATATTAGTTACTCACAGTTTCTTATATAAGAGTTCTTACAAATTGAGAATTGCAATCACAAGCAGATCACGTGAAAGCAAAAACAGCAGTTTCAATTACTGTTTTAGATATTTATTTTTGAAATAAAGAACTAAAACTTAAATAATATAAATCTTTAAATTATAACATACTTGAAAATAATAATTTCATTAAAATACATTAATAGTAAATTGGCTTAATTAGATTTTAAATGTAAGGAAGTACCAAAGGTTATAGGGTTAAATTTTCGCAGTAGTTGTTTTGGATGTTGTTGTTCTTTCCTAATTTCTGTTAAAAATAGCACTTATTAGTGTTGCAATTAAATTTTCAGACCTTAAAAACATAGATTTAGACACCAAGAACACCTGTGTAACATACATAGGGGCAGAGATATGCCAAAACAGGTTTTTGTGGTGGCTAACTTGGATTTAGCCCTCTAGCATAGTTTTCATGAGGGGTACACCCATGCTTATCTTGTAGAGTATCATCAATACATCCATAATAAACCCTTAAACCTTGATCAGGGAATTTTGGTCACAAACTCTATTGGCAGGTCCTCTACTATTAGCAACTAATGAAATCCTATGCTGACATTAAACAAACACTTTTTCGTGCTGTAGTATCACATTGTTCACGTGAACTTGTATAAGCTTCCAAAAGTGCTAAGACCTACTTAATTACAAAATATTTCATTATTAATAAATAAGACATATTAAGTAAAAATTATACACGTACATTTTTATGTAATCTTGACTTACGTAAAAGTTTTAAATAACTTAAATATTTAACAAGCAGTCTCAGACTCAACAGCAACAAAAATAGTAGAGCACTTTGAAGGAACAATATCTGGGATTTTGTCTTTTTCTGAAAATTTACAGGAATATGCATTATTTTATGAATAATAAAGGTGTATGCTGACCAATAATTGGAAAACATCCAAAGAAATTATGACAAGTTTTTGTAAGCAGAGTTGTGTGATTACTTACCCTAATTCAGACAATAGTCCTGCTATTGTTGTAATACATTATCTATAGAACACTCACCATTCCCAAATTGTTTTTAAACCTGTGAGGAACTGCTGAGACAAGAAGATAGAATCTCCTAGTGTTTGTTTCTGTAAACAAGGTCAGATTCAAAGCTAACCTGAAAAGTAGCAAGATGTTCGTGGTGTTACAAGTGTAGATGCGATCATGATAGCTTGCTTAAAAGGTTAGGCATAAGAGGGTTCAGAGAAGCTTCAGCATAGGAAGTGCTGTCAAATGCCCAAGAGAAGTACATCTGCACACAGAAGCAGTAAACTTATAAATGGATCTGATGACCTTCTCAAATGGGTATGAAAATAGGAGGAGAACAATTCAACATCATGTAAGTAGTAGAAAATATAAAAACTGAGTGAAGTGCAAGAATATTGCAAAGATAAGAGGACAAAAAGAGTAATAAAATAATAGTGAAATTGCCTGACCATAGCATGTGGGTGGTCCACTTTAGTAAGATAAAAACACCTTAACAACTACTCGGATCAAAGAAAACAGCACAGCAAAATAATAACTGGATCAAGCCCTACACAGCCATGTACCTCACTCTTAGGCTTCTGAATTTCCAGTTCTGATGGGATTTCCTATCGCCTACCAAAATAGTAAAATTTTCTGCTATTGAGTGAGAGATTGCTTGTTAAAAAGCATTTTTTGCATAGATGCAAGTGTTTTAAATTTCTCATGCATGATAATTATATCTCATTTATTTTTTGTTAAACATGCATATATAGAAAATTATGCACAGTAATGTAATATGTTTGACAGCATTAGTTCTAAATAATTTAAAGTACAATATTCAAATATACACTAAGAATTAACACACACTATTTTGTATCCTTACAATCATATGGAATTTGGTAACATGAGAATATGTAAATGTGTGTACATATCGTAATACTGTTGTGTTTAAAGATGACTGTGACAACGATAGGCTGAAAAACTGTTGTTTAATGACACTGGTAGGAGATGATTACAATGGTGTGTGGAGTAACATTACGATAGGAATATCACTTAGGTGGACAGTAAAACTGATACCAATACGATAGGCAAAAGGTCATATCTGAAATTGATACATATCAGTATACCAGTACAGTCCAAACTAGTTTAGTGTTCCTTCAGAAAATGTACACTGTTAAAAATTACAGAATCAAAGTTACTATGTATTATGATACTAAATTTAAGTATCATAAACACTAGTTGAGTGTTTAAGATATTAACATCTTTTTAAAGGTTTGTTAACTCTTCAAAATTTAATTAAACTACTTCATTATCAATATATTTAAACAAACCTGGTATCAAAACATTGATAATAAATAAGTTTTCAATTATTTGAAAATGAAATATTTAAATAACTCCTCAATCTCCCCTTATATGAGTTTAATGTAAATTACTCATTATAGTATATATACTACTAATACAAAGTAATTTTTATAGCTTTCATTCTTCTTCTTTGTTTACAGAAACAAACTACAAAGACAGACCCACTTGCCACTCCCACCTGTTACATCCTATCTTTTACAAATTGCCAATAATTCTCTAATAGGTCATTTATAACAAACAGAAAGACATCAAATGATGTATAATGCTACACTGTTCTCAGTACAAAATTCAAGTTGTTCCATCACGAGACTGAAAGTTGCCATTGCTCAATTCACATCAAACACCTAAGGGAATTATTTTAAGGCAGTTATGCCTTAGTTAGAAAGTTGGCTAAATTAAAATATTTAGAGGTTATTATTCTATGTTATGTGCATTCTTCAAGTAAAATTATTTATGTACTAATACTATTATTACAAAAAAATAGGCTTAAACTTCATTAGCAGGCTGACAGCAAAAAACCATGAGGCCACATTTAAGTACTACATTTCTTGTTTTTTATGCATATATTTTTATTTATTATTACAAAAGTACCTAAAGTGAAAAATTAAAACACATTAAGTTGGGTAATATAATGAAAACTTTCTTCATGAGGTACACTCACGAGAAGCTCGTGTTACATCATTCAGTATGGTAACTATAGCTACACATTTGCCGAGCGTATCACAGGATCTTTAGTTAGTAACAGTTCAAAGAGCAATAAAATTAAGTAAAAAACAAATATAATGTTACAAACCTTATGTTATTCTAGAAAGAAAAAAAAAGGTAATTTAGATTTATTTAATATTTTTTGTGGTGGTTATACAAGGTTGGTCAAATCAACCAAGCCTGTAGAGTTAAAACAGAAAAAATAACACAAAATATAAAGTTTTAACTGAAAAATTAAAAGTATGACATCTAGGAGATTTTAGAGGTTATGCAAATTAAATTAGAAAACCTTAAGATAAATAAAAGCATTTTTAATCTTAACAAGAAAATCACCTTGCACTCAGACTAGTCAACACTCTTGATTCCATAGTTACACTGACAAATCTTTAGTAAAAATATTTAATAAAAAAATCAAATTTTCTGTGCACTAAAGACTTGTAATGTTTACCAAAAGCTTGCCAAATTTTGTGAAGATACATTAAGTACTTTCACGGTTTCATGGTGGTTACAAGGTTGTGTAAAATATATGAACCTGTGTGAAGATACATTAAGTACTTTCACGGTTTCATGGTGGTTACAAGGTTGTGTAAAATATATGAACCTGTGTGAAGATACATTAAGTACTTTCACGGTTTCATGGTGGTTACAAGGTTGTGTAAAATATATGAACCTGTGTGAAGATACATTAAGTACTTTCACGGTTTCATGGTGGTTACAAGGTTGTGTAAAATATATGAACCTGTGTGAAGATACATTAAGTACTTTCACGGTTTCATGGGGGTTACAAGGTTGTGTAAAATATATGAACCTGTATCCATAGAATTAAATGATGAAGAAAAATAAATGATTAACTTATGTTCTTAAACTCAACCAACATAATGTAAGGAAAACAGTATGCTGATAACAGATAACAGGTATTATAAAAATTGAAACAGTTCCAAGCATAAGAACCAGTGAGTTGTATCATTCTTCCTATTTCCCATAAAATATATGTATAAAAATACAAACAGAATAGCTTAGCCTACAATACCTAAATATATCTTTATCCTAAATATATAGTTTTAACAATTTTACTTTTTATAGTTAAAATATTTGAATTAGTAGTTAATTTAATACCTCGCATGCTGTGGGGATCAGTTCTATTGCCAGACTCAAAAGCAGAGTTTACATGGATGTCTGTAAATCCTTGAGGTGATGTTTGAACACTCACAGGTTCACAGAAAGTTTGATTTGACACTGATGTTGGCTCTTGAACATTTAACAGTTTGGCCAGCATGTCTACAGAAATGCCTTGTTTCTGGTTCAAAAGTTGAGCCAGTTCATCTCCAGCTGGAAATCCCAGAACATCTAAAAAACATTTTGTTTTAAAAAACTAACCAACATTACTTCTTCAACAAGACATCTATCATCCATTATTACACATAAAGGGCTTATTATACATCAAACACTTTCACCGAAACACGTTCCTTGTATTATTTTCTATAGTATCTGTTCTTGTATAAATAATTAAAAAAACACATATACTACTTTCATTTTGTAAGGTAACAAGTACAAAGCTCAGCACTTTTCTTCCATGTTGCTACTCACTGTAAAACAGTATCATGTATAGACCTTCTTGATGTTGATTGTTTTATGAATTGCACACATTCAGTTGATTGCACATTGATTACTTCTTCACTAACCAAAGTTCTTCAAAGTCTGTACGACCCACCTGATTACGTTCCTTTAAGGACCCACCTGATTACGTTCCTTTAAGATCTCTATTAACCATTTGAATGCACTTATTATAGTTCTACAAAGTCTGTACGACCCACCTGATTACGTTCCTTTAAGATCTCTATTAACCATTTGAATACACTTATTATAGTTCTACAAAGTCTGTACGACCCACCTGATTACGTTCCTTTAAGATCTCTATTAACCATTTGAATACACTTATTATAGTTCTTCAAAGTCTGTACCCACCTGAATTACAAGTCTTCACAAATTACATACCTTCTATTCTACACATTCAACAGAGATCTAAAACGTCTGTGCGATCCACCTGAATTTCTAGTATACCAATTTAATCCCCCAATTAAATCCTTCAGATCTCTATTAACCATTTGAATACACTCATTATAGTTTTTTAAGTTCAGTAATGGAGTGTCCAACAGAAAGATAGGTGTGTGTGGGCTAAAATGACCAAATTCAAGTAGTTATCCAGGTAAAACTACCAGATTTTCAAAATGAATGAAATGAGCTTAATTAAAATACAGAAGATTAACTTATAGATTAAGTATAATAATTTTGATGTGAGTGTATTCAAATATTAATTATTACATAAAGACTGAAGTACTCTTTTAAATAAAGACTGAAGCACACTTACATAGACAAGCTAGATAGTGTAGGAAGGAAATGATAGATCTCAAGTGAACATGAACAAATCTGTTGTATATGAAATGTTAAGAGCATTGTAGTTTCTTACTTCACTTTGTCCCTTAGCCCTCAGGGTCTTTGGGGCACCACTGATGACTTTGCAACTACCTTACTCGATCTTTCCCAATTTTTCACGCCCCTCTTGGAGTTGATGAACTCTAGGCCACTCCACTCTTTGATGTTGCCTTCCCACCTCTTCTTCTTTTCCCTCTCATGGTGCCTTGCATAATGGTCTTTGCCAAGCCATATGACCTTGAGACATGACCATACCACATCAGTGCGTTTTTTTTTTACAGTGGTCAAGAGATCTTCGTATGGGCCGATAGCTTGTTGGATTTTGTTGTGGACCTCTTCATTGGTAGCATGGTCTTCTGTGAGGCATTTTTCAAGTTTTCTTCAATTTCATTGCAGTGTACCTCTATCCAGTTCTCTATTGCCTTCTTCATGCCTTTTTTAATTTTGTTGTTTGATTTCTCAGTATTTTTGCACTCCTTCAGGATTGCATTTTCACTTTTTCAGTTCTCTTCTTTTGTCACATAGGTCCAGAATATCTGGTGTGACCCAGAGTTTCTTATTCCAATGATGCTTGCCAAGGATCTTGTTGGCTGCATCAGTCACTGTTGTGTTGAAGGTGGCTATCATTGAATCTAGGTCTGCATTTTCATCACCCAGGATGGTAAGAGGTGCAAATTTCCCATCAATCATTGCTTGGAAGACTTCTGCCACATCAGGGTCCTTCAGCTTGTCAGGGTAAAACTTGATTCTTGCGTGCTTTAGTTTGCTGATTTTCTTCAGACAGAGAGGAAAAGTCATCATCAACAAGTCATGATCACTTCCGATGTCTGCTCCTGGAAAGCTTCGTGTTCTGGCAATGTTGACTCCTGTTTGAAAGCGCTTTTTCACAATGATGTAGTCCATCTGATTGAGATGTTGTCCATCTGGATTGTACCATATCCATCTTCTGGATGATTTGTGAGGACCAAAAGTATTTGCCAACACAAGGTTGTTATGTGTGGCAAACTCCAAGAGCCTGAGTCCTCTTTCGTTTGATTCAGTATTGCAGAATCGTCTACAGATGCCTTGCCCATTTGTCTGTGCATCCTCACCAACTTTTATATTCCAGTCTCCTTCTCCTCCTGCAGTTGGCTGTAAAAGTCTTCCATCTCATTGTCATCGTAGTCAGACACTGTATTACTGTGATGTTGAACGGAGTTGCCCTCAGGCAGATGTTGATGAGCCTGCTGGAGACTGGGTGGCAACCCATAACAGTATTCATGATGTATTTGTGTACAAGGAATCTAACGTCATGTTCATGTTTGTCCTCTTTGCCACTGAAGTAAACCTTGTGTCTTTCCTTGCTTGATATTACCCCAGTGTGTTTCCAATGCATCTCACAGAGTCCAGTGGTACCTGTTCATCTCATGTGTAAGTTCTTTCAATTTCCATGCAGCTTATGTTGTTTCTTCCATGAAACTTGGTGGTAGGAGCATCTATGCCCTGGTGTGAGGCAGAAGGTGCAGTCATTGGTAACCCGGGCTGCGACCAATATGGTATAGGTTGATTATTGGTTGTCTTACATGGTGCATCTTAGGCAGTTGCAAACTGGTGGCACCCATTTCCTCTCCCGGTTGGTTGACCACAGCCAAAATCCACCATACAATATGGCATGCCCTGGTCCCAAACATGTGGCCATTGAGCTCATCCAAGAGCTCTTCAGCCCTGGCCATTGACTTCATCTAGGAAGACGTCTGCCCAGTGATGTCATGTTACTATTATATCATATCATGGTTGGGAGATTCATGGAGGGCAGGAGCGTCTTACTCTATCCCATACAGGTCCATTGGACCTACCAATGCCCACATTTCTACATGTTAAGAATGTATATATGTCACCAGAAATGTACATATGGTGTTAAACTGACCAACATGGATTTACAAAAATTATCAAAAAGTGACATTAAAATTAACATACAACCATGAGTAATTAAATTACACGTAAAGCTGGACAATGTTCCGCCTGACACTACTAACTGAAACTAAATTATATTATGGTACTGTTGGTAGTGAAAGATAAACCTATGGTTAGACACAAGTTATAAACAGAGGCGTGGTGCAGAATCCCCACTGAGAAGAACAGGTTCTCAGAGGTGTTTTTAGGGGGCCATAAAGTTCACCAAGGTTTCTGATGACTAAAAACAAAAATGGCCTACAAGTGATTCAACTAGAAACATTTACAATGGAACCATTAAATTATTAAAATGTATTCTACAAAGTCATGCCAATTTAAAATATTAGAAATCTATCTCAATAACAATGTCTCATATCATACTATATATATTTAACTGTAGTCTATTACTGGTACACAAATAAGTGTCACTCTAATTTGTGATACTTGCCTTGAGCATTATGGACATCTGAATGACTGGTCCTTCCCTTTAGTAGACTCATGAGGTCTCCACAGCCTCCTTCAGGTAACTGTGGAGAAGAGGAAGCCGAAACATGGCTATGGGAGATTGTCGGTATAATGCTGGGAAGTAAGGGCGGAGTGGGGGTATTACCCCTCATCAAGTTGGTCAGTAAATCACTTTCATGCATGAGCTTTGATCTGTCTACTGGAGGTACAGTGACACAAATGGGTGATCCTCTGTCCTGTCCTATCTGGTTTAACTGGTTGCAAACAAATTGAGGTCAGTATGACTGATTAATGATCTGATGATAATAACAATGAACAAAAAGTCATGAACTGCTGTAGTGTGATTATTCATTTCTGAAATATACAAAGGTTGTCAACAAGTCAGTAGCCGCAAAATACTAATTAGGTCTATTTCATCACTACTATACAGTGAACAATATTTTCTTCAAGATGATTATAAAAGCAACAACTTGATAATATGTAGATTAAAGTATCAAACTTTCATAAAATTAACTTTGCTGTTGAGGTTCCTTTAACCCTATAATGACAATACCATTTTAAAAACCCTTTCTGCGCATGCTATTGAGTTACATTCAAAATATAATTAAACCACTTTACTATCATTGTATTTTAATTAAATTATTATTATCAAGTACGTTATAATTCAAAGTTACATATTATCTAAGTTTTTATTCCTTTATTTCAAAAGAAACCTTTAAAACATTATCTAAAATTTGAGTTTGTTATGATGTGACATGTTCGCAGTTACAAATCTCAACTTTAAGAGCTGATATAGAAGAAACTGTGCATGTAATGTAGACAGATGTTTTCATGTTGACATTCAAAGTACACAAAAATTATTGTTTACCAATAAATTGAGTATATTCCAAGACCTTGTCCAGGAGGAAACCATTGTAAAAATTCCTCAGTTCAAGATAAGTCATGCCCACTTACAAAGTAGAAGCTGTGTAGCTAATCAATAATTTTAGCTGGAATGGCATGCTTATAACCAATAGAAAGAGCAGATTTCACACCAAATGGCAGGAAAGTTAGGTGATGTATACATTTTACAAAAGAAGTCGAAATGACGTCCAGTTTATTGTTTACAGCAGTGTCCCTAGTGTTTAGCTGTTTTTCTTGTATTTGTATTTTAAAATTCATATTTGAAAGGTTTAATGATTTGGTAAATTTATTTTATGCTTTACCCTACTCAACAATTGTTCCCAAAGTTAGCAAGTGCAAACAAAATTTTGCCAGAGACTAACTAAACCTTTTCTGCTGATTTTAACGTTATATCACCTGCAGGTACCTGTTGATGTGTGTTGACATAAATAATCAAAGGTAAGGAACGGGAAAGGAAAACATTAAAAATAAACTATACGTGAAAAGGTAAAGAAGTGAAATTATGAATATGACCCAAAGAAAATATTCTAAGATTATTCAATGAAGAGATAAAAGGTATGTACTTATTTTCATTTCTTAACTTTCAACATTTCATTGCACTGCACATTGATGATAATAACTAGAGTTAATGATGTTGTAGAAAAAATGTCAAATAATATTTACCTTAACAAAACTTGTGATATTCATTTAGGAGATTCTAGAGACTATGCAAGTGAAATGTGAAAATTGTAAGATAAAAAGTAGCATTTTTATATTTAACACCAAAATCACCTTGCATGTGAACTATTCAGAAACCAAGTACCAATAACTACATTAAATAACAAATCTTTGGTAAAAATAGTACAAGAATTAAATTAAATATTTAAGTTTTCTCAAACTACATAGTTTTATGAAACAATTTTATCCATGGTTTTATTACTGTAATAAAATTTGATGAAAGTATTAGATGATTTTTAACTAAAGACATTCCTCAGAACCATCACTGTGAATAACATTAAAGCATTATATTTATCACTTTGTATTCGTTGAAAGGCAACCAAAAGTACCCAAAAACAACTTACCAGTTCATTAAAAGCATTGTTGTCTAGTTCCTCCTCCTCTTTATTTTTGTTTCCTAATACAAGGTTCTTGAGATCTGCCTCTAAGGCTTCAATGTTTCTTGTTTTATGGTCAAGTTCTGTTTAAAGTATACATTTTGAAATCAACACCAAGCCAAAATATTATAAAACACCATACATATTCAAATTGTTTTGTTTTGTTGATGTACATTATGAATACGCAAATGTTACCTGTACTTCTGATAACTGTGATATAAAAGTCAACTCTTTATACATGCATTTTTCATTGGCTATGGGCTCAGCAGAAAGTCTTACTTTTACAAGTTTTAACACATTTGTCCAACATCACAATATCTTGATAAATACGTTGGTAAAGCAATGTACACTACAGTGAGGCTATTAATGCTTACTATTTACAAAGTGACTGGTGACACATAACTGTACAAGTTAAGCACAACTGGTATACTTAGAACCCAGTCATTGGCACGAATGATATTAGAAGCTTACCAAAAGGATTTCCACACAAAAAATAATTTTACGCTATTTTACAAATTATTGTCATAACCACTGTACATTCTAAGATTTTGTAATTTTTATCATTGATAAAAATATCTTAGGGACATCTGTGACTCTCTCTTACTCCTCAAAAATGTATTTACAATATTTGCTGAAACTTGTATCATGTTTTTCACTACAGTATCATTGGGTTCTCATTTACCTTTTCTCCAGTTGACAGACTCCAGTAACCATTACTACCTGTGGAGTCATCATCACCTACAGCTGTGCATCCAAGTGGAATTATCTCAATGATATAAATATACAATAATAAATCTAACATTCCAAATACATAAAACATACCACAGTCCTCCATTTTGTCTGCTTCACCATTCAAAAGGGGTTCCAAGCTTATGTTGGCAATGTGAAGTAATTCTAAAATGTTCTTGTCCTCATCTTGTTCTGACTGCTGAGAGGTTAGCTGCTGGGGGGAGAATCCACCTTCGCTATAACTCTGTGTTACTGCAGGACTAATTGGAGCAAAGTAATTGTCTACACCTGGTGGCTGTGATGTTGAATCTCCTATACCTACAGAATATTTATATATTTTTAGATACACACACACACAAACATAAATCATCAGTAAATAATATCTCTAATCATACTCAGTCTATATTATGGACCAAAAAGTAGAAATTCCTGACACATGACATCTACATTACAAGTCTCCAACAGAAATTAGTTGTTGAAATTAGGACAAAGTTCACAGCAAAAACATTTAATACATGAGTGGGGTATAAGGCAAGTGTCCTTATCAGGGTAAGAAACAAAAAAACTTAAATTAAGTTTTTGTACTGATTAAGTATTTTTGGTGAAACCTTAAAACTACAGTCAGTTTTAAAAGTTAAACCTCAAGCATCAACGTTTTCATATTATCTTATGATATTCAACTTCTCTGGCAAGTCAGAATCAAAACCAAACTTGTAGTGTTTAATACTAGCAAAATACAGTAAAACAGTCTTAACAAACACTAATATTCCTCACTCTTCACATAATGTAAAACTGAACTCAACTTTTCCATTTGTTCTCAATGAAGGAGTACTTAAAAATATGTCAAACTATTGTCGATTTACCAAAATAAACTTTACTGTCCCCCTCTAATACTAAAAGACAAAAATCCAAAACACAACTCACTCACTACATGATTTTGACAAGAGTGCATAATAGTTCTGCTTATGAATTACATTTTGCTTCAAACAAATGTCTTACTAATCAAACTGATAAAATGTTAAAGTTACTAAACAAAGAATTTTCAATCTTTTTTAACAAATAGTTTGTCTGTGAAACAAGGGCAGCCCTTTACAGAATCACTTAGAAATAACTGGATAGGTAGACCTAAACATTTAAAACTATAGTATAAACTTTAACAATCTACTAAATTCAATCATAATTAAAATTTCAAGTTAGACATTGTGAGGTAATTTTATCATTAAATATTCTAGTTATTTAATCAGCAATTTTATTTTTCTTTAAAATTGTAATCTTAATAAGAACAGAAAAACATTAATGGAAATACAATTCAGAATTTTTTCTTAACACAAAATTTTTTTTCCAGACATCCTTGACATTTTTTGAAATAAAATGCCACAAGTTCTGATTGCTTTGTCGTATACCCTCACTAATTTTGTCGTATACCCTCACTTATTTTGTCGTATACCCTCACTAATTTTGTCGTATACCCTCACTAATTTTGTCGTATACCCTCACTAATTGTCGCATACCCTCACTAATTGTCGCATACCCTCACTAATTTTGTCGTATACCCTTACTAATTTTGAGGTCTGCAAAATAAACACAATCCTTCTCTTTTAACTTGTTTGTGCTAGTTTTATTAGAATCCTTGTATACAGCATACCACTGAAAGATAGCATACATTTATGCATTAAACATTACAGAAACTAAACATTTAAAATGTATTTAGGAGATTTTAGAGATTACACAAATAATATATAGATTTTTGGGAAGAACAATATTTTTTTCAGTTATAGCATAAAATCACTTCACACTTGGACTGGTAACAAAACAGACTCAATATTTTTACAAACAAATCTATAATAAAAATACTTCATTACAGAATCTGATTTTGTGTGTACAAAAGAATGTAATCTTTACTAAAAGTCTACCAAATTTTGTGAAGGTACTCTTACTGCATTAGAAGTTATAGTATAAACTTAACTCGTGTATATTATAAAGAGCCAATCTAGAAAGGGTTAAGTAAGTTATGTCATCAAGTACCCCCCTCAACTGTCATTGAAATGTGTTTTTAAGTTTATATGCAGAGTACATTATTTTTTCAGGTATAAAGATTGCATATCTGCCTACAAAACTTTTAATGTGGTGTACGAGTATAAATCTCTTAAATTTTCTTTAAGTAATATTGTTTCCACCACAAGGTGGCTAACAGTCCTAATACAAGAATATACTACCTTAAAAGCTACATTATATTCAAGTATTAAGAAACATGCTTACATAAATGTAACAAACCTATAAAAAAAAAAGAAAAAAAAAGAACAATTTAAAATCCTTCTTTGGGCCAACAGTGAACAAGAACTGCAGATAAAGTCTCTTAACTCCCTCAACACAGGTCGGTCAATTTGACCAACCACGTGACTTCTTTGTACTCATTCAAAGTTTTTATAGTTTTGATACTACTAACTTTTAATATGGTATGTATATCTTCACAAAATTTGGCAGATTTTCAGTAAATATTATGTGTTTAACATACAAAAAAAAGATTTTGTGAATATATAGATGCTTTTTATGACTAGCCCAAGTGCAAAGTGATTTTCATGTTAAGATTAAAAATACTTTTCTTCCTCTCAAAAATCTAAAATTTCAATTGATTAATTCATAAAAACCTCCTAAATACATTTCAGATGTTTATTTTCAGTAAATACACCTAAATTGCCATTTTTTATTTCTAAAATGACTTCAAATTGTAACAAACTACAGTCATTTATCCCAAGTAGCTTTAAACTTGTAACAGAATACATCAATTTATACTTAAAATTTTATTGTTTTATTGCCCTTTGAACTGTGTCTAACTACTATTCGTGCCATTATAAGTTGTAAATCACTTGTGAAACGTGGACCTCACATTACACTATCGAATTACATTACCTACATCCTGCTCACATGTGTACCTCATGAAACATTTTTATATTACCTAATCTAACTTTAACTAACCTAAATAGGTCTCTGTTTTTACATTTTACTTACTTTTATAATAATAAATAAACAAGAAAAACAAGAAATAAAGTACTTACCTGGGTCTTCTTTTTTTCCTTTTCTTTTTGCTGTTGATTGTTGATGACACTTAACTCTTACTTTATTTTATACTAATGGTAGTAATGCACTAAACAATTTTTATTTAAGTAAATATTGCACCAAAAAACATACAATAACAATTTGCAAAAAGCAGAGAATTTCACCTACTATCAAAATTTTTCTGGCTTTCTAATTATACAATAAGAGCTGTTACAAATTTGTCCAAGTTAATCATTATGTTTCCAATGGGAAAGAGTCTTGTACTAACAGTGAAATTGATAAATCTCCATTCAGAAAGTAATACGTCATTTGATAGATGAAACCTTTGGCTTTCTTTTCGTCATACATAATACAGAAATAAACGTAAAACAGAACTATTAACAAATCCTGAAAGAGAGGATGTGACAGGTAGATGTGACAACAGGGGTCTGATTTTCTATTTGATGGTTCTGTAGCCAAACAAAATTGAAAGCTATAAAAATTATGGTTTGTCTGAGCAATGACGATTTTATAATGAGTAATTTACATTGAACTTTGTACTTATTGGGGTAGTGGTGAATAAAATAGAGAAGACTGGATGCATACAGAAAATGTCACAATAGAGGAAATTCAGGATTTTTTTATATATTGCATTACAAAATTAAGAACTTAAAACTTATATACTATTAAAATATGGATTATTAGCTAAGATTTTATACTACACTAATTGGTATAACATAAACAAAAAGTAAATAACATTTTGTATGAAAGTCACTAAAACCTCGTAACATGTGCAGTAAATGATGTCTGAGCAGAGAGGGTTAATAGATTCAAACGGAAGTTAAATGAGCAGAATAGTGTGGTTTGTTTATTATTGGGTTTGTGAGAATTACCAATACATTAAATTTAACCTTTACTATGTCTGTCATACCTCAGCAGACCTGATGTCATAGAATATCATACAGTTCCCTGACATCAGGTGTGTCATTCACACTCAAAATAACTGGAAAAGAATTGACAATCTTATAGGTTAACTCTCTATAAACATGTGACCTTTTAACCCAATTGCCCTGGGTATCCTTTACTGCGCATGACACAAGGTTTTATTGTCTTACATTTAAAATTTTGTTAAGCTAAGTTTTGTTTATGTTATATCAATTAGAATGTCATAAAATCTTAGCTAATAATCTATATTTTAATAGTATACAAGTCAAGTTCTTAAATCGACAAGGCAATATTAAAAAAATCCTGAATTTCCACTAATGTGACCCATGTGACACATTTTCTCTTAGCATGTTATCATCCCTATTTTATCCACAGCCTCTTGAAAAAGAATGAAATTAAACATAAATTACTCTATATAAAATCATTATTGCTCGGATAAACCATAAATTACTTTGCCTTCAATTTTGTTTGGTTACAGAGCTATTGAATAAAAAATCAGACCCCTCCTGCCACATCCACCTGTTACATCCTCTCTTTCGCAATTCATTGATAGTTCTCTCTTAAGTTTCATTATATATTACCTATAACCAACAAAAAGTCAAGGTTTTCACCTATCAAATGATGTATTGTATAACGTTGTGTTCTGAACAGATAAACGTCAATTTCTCTTTTAGTACAAGTTTTGTTCCCACGAGAAAGATAAAGACTAGCTTAGATGAATTTGTAACGACTCTTATCGCATAGTTAGAAAGCCAGAAAGATTGTGGTAGTTAGAGGAAACTGTCTGTTTCTTGCATGTTATTATTCTATGTTTTTTGGTGCATTATTTAATTAAATAATTATTTAATGCATTACTACCATTAGTATAAAAAGTAGGATTTGGTGTCATTGACAGTCAACAGCAAAAAAATTAAAAGGTATGTACATCTTTCTATTTATTAATTTTAAACATTTCATTGCACTGTATGTTGATGATAATATCTACAGTTAGTGATACGGTAGAGATAATGAAAAATAAAATTTACCTTAAAATACTTTGATATTCATTTAGGAGGTTCCAGAGATTATGCAAATGAAATATGAAAACTATAAAATGAAGAGAAGTATTTTTATACTTAAAATGAGAATTACCTTGCACTCGAACCATTAAGAGTTTGAGTGCAAATAAACATTTTAGCAGAAATACTAAATTAAAATAGTGTCATTCTTTGTGTACAAGACATGTATAATCTTCAACAAAATCTTACGAGTTTTGGTGACGATACATGAAGAAATCTCAGTATTACAGTATGTATTGTTTCACAAGTGTAATTCCCATACAACCTCAAACAACTTGCAGGTGGCCATGCCAAAAGGGTTAAGAAATACTCAAAAGGTTTTTAAAAATCAGGAAGAATACATTTAGATTTTGGGTTTGACACATCAAGCACCATAATGCACACGTCCCATATGTACATCTTATGCAAGCAGAGCAGCCATCAGTCATCTAGGTTTGACATTGAAACTTCCATAGTTCGGTCAGTCTATAAAAACACAGAAGTAACTGAACCCAGGTAAAAAGACTGGGAAGGAAAAGAAAGAAGACAAGAAACCTCCATCATAACTTAGAATCTCCCCAATCCGTATCCAATAAATCAGAACTATCTAGCATCTATCCTTTATGCTGTATGATACATAAACTTAAGTTAGGAATTCCAAGTTACAAAACCTTATGAACAATGTGTGCATGTGATGAAACAACACAGTTCACATTAGCCACCCACAAATGTTTTATATTATACTGCTGACTACTAGAAAAAAACAACAAAATAGATTCTGCAAACAGGCAAGTCATCACAGAACAACCATTCATTCCCAGCAAGTCAATCTTTTAACAGCTAACCCAGGCACAATTTAACTTTAAACCTTGTAATTTAAAGCAAAATCCATCTTCAAAAAATTTTTGAGAAGTGAAAATAAAAACAAGACAGTTTGTCTGATAGTCCAGAATTTCTCTAACACTTTTAACAATATAACTATACAAAATTAATCTGTATGATTTAATGGCAGATGTTTTTAAAATGTAAGCAGGCGAGATGAATCGAGATAATTGCATGTGAAATATGATAAGTTTTTAATATCAATTCACATTAGAAATCAATCAGAACAGAAGGAATAATGCAGAGATGATGCGAGAAATTGTCTTCTATTTAATACCATATTCCTGTGGTAAACATAGGCTTGTCACATTTGTCTTAGGAGTATCAAGAAATTTATTCAACTTTATATTGGCACCTGTAAACAGATTTACAACACAACCTTAATGACAAAGAAAATGTAGTAGTAGAGCTCAAGACTAATAATATAAATTAAAAAAAATGTTTATGTTATAGTTTCAGCAAATAAGCATTAATAGTCATCATCAACAGTAGTTGATGTTATCTACACGCTATATTTTTTTACAAATATTTAGTTTCTGTTTAGGTTATCCAACCAATGAACAACCATGTTTCCAAACACTTGTTACAACATACCACTTAAGACGTGTGCTACCAGTTCATCCTGAAAGGATGATCTTCGACTATTAGGATCAGAGTCAAGCCTAACATGTGCAGGACTGTCTCTTTGAAACCACTGACTGAACCGGCTACTTGCAACACCCTGGCTGTCTAAGGGCTCATCTAGAATACCATTCTGTGTAAGGAGAAAAAAAAGCAGCATATGAAAAAACATGATCAAGCATAAAATATGAAATTACATATCGAAAATTATCCAATAATTAAATTACTGTTATATACAAGAATAATCCAACATTAAGAGCCATACTTTCAAGAACTTCCACATTGATATAAACTTCTCTGTAGTAAATACAAACATTTAAACATAAATACTCTGTTTATACTAATTATAGCTTGAATGTACAAAGAATATTTCAATCAAGAAATTTTACAAAACATACTACATTATAAACACTGTCATCACGGAAAGTGAAACAGGAAAGATGGTCAAATCCCCAGTTAGCAGATGTACCACTGTGAAACCAACCATTTTAAACAAGGAAAGAAGGAATAAGTAAAACTCATTTTAAGAACAGAGTACAATACACTGCATTAAACCACAAAGAAAGCTATCAACATTTGCAACAAATAAATTCAACCACAGGCATTATTATATAGCATCAGTTTTGGTGTAGAAACTTAAAACAAAAATATCATTAGCTGTAGTTATAGGCCATACCTTAGCTCTTTCCATCACGGTGACATCATTTTGGCCACTTCTGAATTTCCATCCATAAGAATTAATAACTCCAAATGAAACTATATTTGAAACACATATACTTGAAATATAAAGCAGGTTAACCACTGAATGTTCCTTAAGATTAATTAGGTTTTGTTTGTAAATTTATAATTTGCAGTGAAACCTTTATAACCTGAATGAATATGTAGTGAGGTAAGTTGTTCTTGATTATCATTACATCCAGATAGTCAAATCAGTCACTTTGAATACAATGAACACTATAAATAGCATTTGTTATCAATGGTTGAATGTGAGGGTGGGCATGCAATTGTATTTATAATAAATTTCAGCCCTTCATATTCGAAAAACACATAAGGGCTGTAAACAGTCACCACCAAACAGACAACAGGAGCTGTAAGCAGGAGGATTCCATACCTTGATTCTTGGTTTACAAAATTGGACAATACAAGTTTACTGGTACTGACTGAATTGTACTTTTTTTTCTATCAACAAAAGTTTTGTTCAAAGCATGCCACTGAACTATGATGAACTCCAATCAATGTGGTAGCCTTTCAGGCCTCATATCATGCAGAAAGTAGGTCACACCAAATATTACCTTGAAATTTTACTTCGTAGTTCACACTGAATCTGCATATTCTAGAATGTTCCAGAACATTCTGGAAGATTCTAGATTTTTCTGGAATGTCCTAGTTTATTACTATGAAATACTATAGCACATTATGAAATAATGAATCACATACTAAGATATTCCAAAGTATTCCACATTATTCAGAAGGTTTAAGAACATTCCATATAAGGTGAATAAGCACTTAAGCAGATTCATTTGTGTCACTTCAGCTGACACTGTATCAACATATGAGTGCAAATGTATACTGCAGCAAGAAGTAAGACTACACTTGGTTCAGAAGAAACTGGACTAACAGAAAGCAAATTATCTTCAAATAGGCAAGTGCTGGGTGCATTTTTCTATCATCACAAAATATTAAAGAATACAGTTCATGAAAGCTCAAAAGTTGTGATCAAGAAAGCTACAGCATTTTGGAACAAGGCTCAAATTCCAATTAGTCCAGAACATCATACAATTATCAAACTGAAGGAGTTTTTGAAAAATGGACAAAGCTAAAGAAAAATTCAAAAAGGAAAACTGAAGCATAGTGAGCCGATAAAGCAGTTTGTCAATAATCTGAATGACTTTTTGACATCATTCATAGGGACGCCCTGATCAAGATTCCAGAAGACAAGAACTTTCTTCTTGCTCAGAGGGAAAGAGGACATTGTGGGTGCATGGGCTAGGTAGATAAAGTTCTTTCTCTAAGGGAATCAGAGTTGAAAAAGGAAGTGAGGCAAGTATGGATAGAAAACTGCATGTAGAGCAGGAACAGCAGACCTTGTTGGGAACCATTCGAAAGCAGTGATGTCATGGTTGATAAATACAGTAACAATAACAGTGATGAGGATAGAAGAGCAATTGAAGAATCATCATCATCTAAATATAAAAAGAGGACAAGAAAAATATCACTCCTGAGTTAGCAGCAGCTATGGACAGAACTAAGATGAGTGACAGAAAGGTAACATTTGTCCTTACTGCCACAGCTCACACCCTTGGTCAATAAATGCAAGAACTAACCATCAACCATTACTTTATCTTAGTGCATGGTTCACTGCTTCTGATGCCATTTCTACTTCTTGCAATGGTCTTATCTTCTTACATGTATTGTAAGTATAAGAAAGATGAATTACATTCTTTCAAAACCTGCCTATAAAACTTTTGCTGGACATCTATGGTATCTTAACAATGAACTCATTGCTTTGGCATTCATTGATTCAGCTCTATCTACACACACACAATATGAGAATGAAAAAGGCATTAAACAAGAATGAAAGCATGGATGAACCTCTAAAGCACATCCATTTGAATATCGGAAAGTCTGAGAGTGTGTCAATTGAAGAATTTGTCACAAAGAACACAACAGACTTCTTCAGAAGCCTCAAAATTCCATCTAGATTAAAATCCCCAGTCATGGGCATCAGAGATGACAACAGGGAAGAACTGCAGACAGTTTAACACTTGAAAGTGGTGGTTCTTATTCAGGAGTATAATGCCATCATAACAAAGAAAGAAGAACACACAACATTCCTCCTTCAAAATTTACAGGATAACAGAAAATGTTCCTGATAGCAAAAAAGAAACAATAACAATGTGAAAGTGACTAACCACACCAAAATCATATAATTATGTAACCGCACTACCATATGTATCGTAAATTAATAATATGCTCTAAATAAGTCATTTATAATACATAACAAATGTGTTTATGTTACATAGTACATACAGTACCAGGACACTGCAGTCTGGAACTTCAACTTCATTATGCAACCTCTTAAAATGGTACAAAATAGATCAAGTTATTGTTTTTTGTATGTTGGAACAACATTAGAAAGTGAGAGCTTTAGAATGTTTCAATTTTACCTGCAAATAAGGACCACCTTAATGTCTATATACGACAATATAGTTTGAAAATGTCATTATTGTGTGAATAACATTGCTAGTCTAGGCCAATTAAAATTAAAGTATTGGAGTCATAAAAGATAACAGGGACACAAAAAGTTATTAATGAGCTTTTGTGTGTATATAAATAACAGCCAATTGTATAGACCAGGGGTCACCAAACTACAGCC